GACTTGAATAAGGAATCCTACTTCGCGGAATTTCATTTATCACGGTAGGGTCTAGAACCGATTAACCGTGATAAACGAGGGTTCACTGTATTTCCCACCTGAGAAATCTAACAAAAACACCCAACTGCCATCCAGTCCATTCTGACTAGTGGTGACCCTATAGGGCAGGTAGAACAGCCTCCTCTTTCTCCTGCGGGGCAGCAGGTGTGTTTGAAACGCTGACCTTGTGGTTAGCGGCTGCAGAGCCGCAGGGCAAACACTGTGGCCATGGCCAGCAGAGGGGCAGGCTGAACTTCCGCTCGCACTCAGCCTCTAGGGTCACAACACCCTGGAAAACCAAAGCTGGCGACCTTGGAGGGTGAAGGTCAGGGGCAAGGAGAGAATGAGGCGAGGGGAGTGGAGCAGAAGGAGAGCTTGGAAGTGTTCTTTGGCACCCCCTTGCTTTCTGGAGGAATCAGGCGGGCAAGGGTCCTCAGGCTCTATGCCTTTGAAGATTCGAGAGAATGAGCAGGGAGAGGGAAAGGCCATGGAGAGAGCAGAGAGCACAGACTAAATGGCCTGGGGAGGGGGCTTTGGGGACTTGGCTGCTCCCTTACTAAAGGACCCAGGGGCTGACTGCAGCAAAAAGGAAGGGAGGCAGGCAGGAAGCACAAGCTGATTTATCCTTTGAGATGGGCAGCCTGGGGCGAGCTCCGGAATGCCTGGTGCATAATAAAACGTGAAGGTGTGAGCTCTTTTATCTGCTCCTAACCACTCCTGTGATGCTTCTTTGTTAATGAGCAAGCGGCAGCCCTCCAGCCAGGGCAGATGTGCAGAGCTGCCAGGCTAGAGAGCACACTGCCCTTGGGGCCTCCTTGGTGGGAAAATGGACCCAGAGATAGTGGAGAGGTGGGGGGTGGGGGTCTCGAAGGCAGGTTTCAAGACCTAATTGTGGTGGTGGGTGGGGCAAGAGTAGGCCAGATTGAGTCACCTGTGGGCCCAGGGAGAGGACGGAGAGGCTAAGCCCTCTGTTAGGTACCGCCATGCCTGGACTGAGAGAGAGGAAGACATGGGTTTGGAGGCGGTGGTCGCAAGATGGCGGGAGAAACACACCAAGGATCTAGAGAGGCCCAAGGAATCAGGCAGAGCGTGGGCCCAGCTTTTCAGTCTAGAAGCAACCCTGTTCCCTGAGTCCCCGAGGCGCCAGCCGTCGCACGCTGGGTGGGCAGCCATTTCTACCACAGCCAGCATCATGACAAGAACCCCACCGGTCACTTTTCCCCTCCGCGCCCTTCTCTCCCGTTTCGTGAGGGCAATGGCGTGAGAAGCCACAGTAGATTTAGAACTGAGACATTGAGGTGACTGTCTGCATTAGAGCTTATGTTCGAAGCACTGGTCTGTGGAAGGCTATGGTCTACAGGAGCCCCGCTGGAACAGTGGGCTATGCATTGGGCTGCTAGTTGCAGGGTCAGCAGGTTGAGATCACCAGCTGCTTTCTACTCCCACGACGAGTCACAGGCTGGGAAACCCACAGGGGCAGTTCTACCCTGTCCTCTAGGGTCACTATGGGTTGAAATGGACTCATGGCCGTGAGGGTGGAGTTTCTTTGGACACAGTCTTACAGTGGGAGCTTGGACTCCATCTGAGTTCTTTATGTGCTTGACCACTAAACCAGCATTATGGCTGTGCTCAGAGACGTCTGGGGCAAGCCCAGGGAGGGACAGTCTACCCTCAGGAAGTGTATGGTTAAAAGCAGACAAACTGCTATGCAGAAAGAGGTTCACCCATAGGACTACGTAACTTGCTTGGGCATTTATGGAATGTAGCCAGTATACAGTAGATGCTATTTAAGTCAAAGCCTGTGGACCCTGGCCTGCCTGTTTTGTAGCCAACCGCCTTGTGGCTATGATTCAAGGCTGCATGGTCTTGAGTCATATCCGAACCACCACTTTGCCAGGTACCCCAAACCCCAGAACCTATCCTGTAGCCTTTGTAAACCTGCAGTGGTGCACACATCCCAATCCTGGTCCACCGGGGCAGTGATGGATCGCCTGCCATCAGCCATGATCTTGGGGAGAGTCCTTCACTCTCTGCCATGGCTGTGAACTGGCCGGCCCACTGGTCTCTGTACTGTGTGCCTGCTGACCGGTTTCCCTTATCTGGGATGAATGTCCTTGTTTTGTCTCGTCCTGTTTGAGGCTTAAGAAGAGGCTCTCTGTAGAACATGGCGTCCTGGTGACTCGGTGGGTTAAGCATTTGGTGGTGAACAAACAGTGTGGGGTGGGGGGATGTTTCCAACCCCTCAGGTGCTCCACGGGAGACAGACAAGGCGAGCGGCCTCCGGAAAGAAGGACAGCCTTGGGAACTGGATGGAGCAGTGCTACTCTGTCCTGGTGCGAGGTCTCCGTGAGTCAGAATGGGCTCGATGGCAGTGGGTTTGTTTTGGGTACAGAGCACATTTAAATCTGGAGTTTTTCCTTAGTACAGGCCAGAGATCTAAGGGTGTCCCACTGCCATGTAGAGCGAGCAGGTGCAGACCTGTCCACAACTGGTACACGTGCGAAAGACCCTCAAATCTAGATGTCGCCCCACTGTCTGCTGTGTACAGGGGGCCCACACCCAGGGGCTGGATTACCCAGTAAGCGAGGGACGTATGGGCTTAATTTTGTTTACTGTATACTGGGCACGTCGTCCCTGTGAGGAATGGCCAGTTTGAAAAGAGGCTTTGATTCTGGAGGAAGGTGCTGTGGGGTTGGGGGAGGGAGACGGCTGACAGCCATCCTGAGAAGCAGCATCTTGGACGTGTGGAAACTGTGCAATGGTTCACTGCAGATTCATCAGGAAGCAGAAGGAAGCCCGAGGGCACCTGGATTACTGGGTAATAGGACACCCCACCCCCAACTTAAAAAAACTCAACACAAGATGGATGGACATGGTGGTGCAACAATGGGCTCAAACCCAAGAACACCGTGAGCATGGCGCAGGGCTGGGCGAGCCTTCCTTCTGTCGTGTGCAGGCACACGCCTCAATGGCATCGAACATCATCATCATCACCATCCTCCTCCTCCTCCTCCTCCTCATCCCAACAAAACTAATAGGAACTAATTGATACCATTTAGTCCCTGGTCCATAGTTCATCTGACCTTATTCCCCCTGAAAAGGAAATGACGTTTTAAAGGTCAGCTGGCTTTCCCTTCTCGTTGAGTGTTTTTGGAAATCTCTAACAGTTTCTCCCTGGTAGGGGGGTCTTTAGGATGTCGACAGGTCCCACCTGTGTCAACACCCTTCTACTCTTTCGATGCAAGCCCCACAAGGCCAGATCCTCCGCCCCTAGCTGGGAGACCGGAGGGAGAGGCCGGACAGGGAGCCTTTCTCCCGAGGGCTGAGAGAGCCCACGGCGGCCCTGCTATTGCCGCGTCCTGCAGAGACTGGATGGAGGAAGCGAGAGCAACGGACACCTCGCTTTGCTCACAAATGCAGGCGGCTTTCCGCCACCAAACACGGTTACCAGGCCTGGTGAGATGGGTACAGGAGAAGGAAGTGTCAGCAAAATCAATAGTCCTGTCTACCATCCCGTCCTCCGTGTGTGCCTGACGTCCAGCTCCCTGTTAGTGACGACAGCTGCCGTTCTAGGTAAACAGCAGGCACGCTCAGGCTCACACGGGAGGCGAGGGTCGTGAGTCAGGGGAAGGGCATCTTTGAGGGATGTCTAAGGACCTTACACCTTCAAGTCATCCAAAGAGAAGTGGAATTTACAAATCAGGCAGAAGCGGTAGAAACCAGAGTTGGTAGGGGCTCTTTTTTTTTTTAAGTAAGGAAGCGACCCGAAAGCAATATTCTAAAGCAACAAGTGAGACATCTGTGGTGGCAGCTGTCCTTGTGCTCAGCACTGCCTCCCAAGTCAGGGCGAGGCAGCCTTGGGATTGACGATTGCTATTAAGTGAGCATAACGCTGCAACATATGTTATACTAATACATTACATAGCTTAATAATGCTTTTACAACACGGGATGGAGTAAAATCTCAAATGCATAGAGAGTCCGGGTTTCAGAAGGGCCCCCCCCCCCCCGCCCCCCCACCAATCACTGGTCAAACACATGGTCTCATGTAACCCTACATTACTATTAGGAGGAAACCAGGAACATAGTCCCCCTCTCGCCACACCACCCCATCCCTCCTGAGGATGACAGTAATGCCTGGCTGCAGACAGAGGCAGGGATGGATGTCTGCAGTGCCCAGGGATGCCAGAACCACGGATGCCTATAGCGTTCCCACACCCGTTTAGAATTTAGAGCTCCAGGGTCCCAGTCTGGGGCCTGGTACCTGTAGTTTCCGGGTTGGGGTAGGGACTCTTGCCCTCATTTTCATTGGCCTGGAGATCATCCACGTTGATCTAGCCAGCAGAGGGGAAGAAGGAAGAGTTCCGTTAGATACACTGCATGATTTTAGGAAATGTATTCTATGGTTTAAGCCCCCTGACTGCATTAGAGTCACTGGCTGACTATGTGTCCCTGTCACTTGGCACAGAGGCTGGGATTCCGGCAGCCTGTCTTCTCTTCCCGTTCCCAGCTCCTCCGCTCCACCTCCGCTGGCTTTCTTTCCCTCCCTCCCTCCCTCGACCCGCTTTCCCCTCCTTCCTCCTTTCCCGGGGCTGTCTGGCCTTGGAAGCAGTAGCAGGAGATGGTGGTTCACCTTGGTGGTGGGTGGGGACTCTCCATCCGCCGTGATGGATTTCAGCTCGATTTTCTCCTCCTTGGTCTCCTCCACAGGCGGCTTTTCCACCACCTCTTGTTTCTTCTCTGGGCTGGCCGTCCTGGCCGGTCAGCAGGAGGGAGAACAAAAGGGTGTTACCTGGGATGATCGGGGACAGTGGAGAAGGGAACCACCCCTGGCCTGCTGGGGGCGAGTGGGGGCAGATTCCCTGGGTCTGTGACCAAGCCCGCTTCCTCGGGGCAGATCACCAATGCTATTGGCCGGTGGGCACCTGGCTCTCTCTGGTGCTCAGCTGGCCTTGTCCAGCTTCTCAGCTGCTGCTGCCTAAATCAGAGCTCGGCTCTGGGTTCCCTTTAGAATTGGCTGCTGGACAGCCTCTCCTCGGTGTCCGGCAGGTGGCTTTTCATGGTCCGGTTGTCTAGACCAGGTGGGATGCAGGGTGGGGCGCTGCCTTGCCTTCTTAATCACGGCAGCTGAGGCACCAAACGGAGCGGGGCTTCCTTTTGTAAGCAGGAGCTGGATTTCAGTCCCACTACCTATCATGGCCTCTCCTTTCCAAAGAGAACCCCCACCCCCGCCCCCACCCTGCCCCTGTGCCCAACTTCCCAGATGGATGGGGAAATGGAACAGCTTCACAGCCTAAAACGTAAGACGGTCTCGACTTTGGAGCCAGGCCTGGGACTAGGAGACCACGTAACTTCCTATAGAAGGCCCCAAGCCCTGCCTTCCCAGGAGGGCGGGGAACAGATGGAAACGCCCCAGGCTTCTCTCAATCATTGATGGGAACGGCCTTCCAGAGCAGGACCGTGGTCCCTGGGCCCGGGTCAGCTTAGAGGGTTACCTGGCCAGCTTCTTTCTCTCCTTCTCTTCTTCCTCCTCTTTTTGGGCAGATGTGAGGCTTTCAGCATCAGCCAGGTTGTCCACCGCAATGGCCAAGAATACATTCAGTAGGATATCTGTTTGTGTCCATTTTTAAAGGAAATAACCCTTGGGCACTTTAATGGCTGCTCAGAGGGACAAGGAGGGCTATCAAACATGCAGGAATGGTGTTCCCCCGAAGAGAAAGGCTACAGGAACCCACCTTGAGGGGTTCAGTGCCCCATTGAGCTCCACCCCGTCCCCTCCCCTGGGAGTTTGTACGGAGCTGAGAGGAAGCTCACTGGCAGGCTGGTATTGGGGCAGTGTGACAGCGAGCCCCGCCTCACTTTTTCATTGCTTGGTTCTGTGACTGGGTTCCCCACTGAGGCGGCTGGTCATAATGGACATTATAAAGGGCCTTGTCTCCGGCAAAATGGTTTCTCTCAAGAGTGGCTCATTATAACCGTGTGCCAAGGAGGCAGCCTGGCATCTCTGCCAACCTTCAGTGGGAGTCATGCAGACAGAGACCCAGGAGGGCCGGGAATTCCTAGTGGAAGCCAACACGCCCCCTCCCACCTTGACCAAAAGACTACGGGTCAGAGAATTGCAACTCCAAAAAACATGTCCAGAAGGGGGTCATGAAGTTTAAGTCCGATCTCCATTCCTTCCCTCCCTCTCTCTCTTTCACACACACACACACACACACACACACACACACACACACGTTTCATGGAAGGAGAAACTAAACCTAGGGAGGGAAGGGCACCTCTCTCTTCCAAGGCGGCCATTGAATCCTTCACCCAAGCAGGGTAGCAGCAGAGTGGGGGCTCTGCGGCACACGATCACGTGACCTGACAATGACTCCTTGAGTCCCAGTCTCTCGTGCCCACTGCCCTCGAGCTCATTCTGACTCATGCCCCCATTCTGCAGCCCCATGCCACAGACAGTGAGGGCGAGAAGGTCCACGCTGGCCCAGGCCACCCGGATGGTCACAATGGAAGCTGTGTCTGCTGACTTCAATGTCCACGTGTGTCACACAGTGTCCCTTATCTGGGACTTGTGAGGAGCCCGGGCGGTGTAGGGTTTACGGGCTGGGCTGCTAACTGCAAGGTCAGCCGCTCCATGGAAGAAGGATGGGCCTTCGACTCCTGCTCAAAGTTACAGCCTCGGAAGCTCACGGGGCAGTTCTACCCTGGCCTCCAGGTGGCCCTGAGTCAGACTTGGCTCGATGGCCGTGAGTTTGCTTTGGGTTCTATCCGGCACTTAACCCTGAGAACTCGGAGTCCAGGGCCTGAGCTGCTTCTACCACTTGAAAACCTAGCAGGGCTTGAGTCAGAGGCCCGGGAAGCCTGCTCACGGGCTGCGGCAGGGAGGAGGTTGGCTGGGTGAAGCCTCTCCATCTCTGACTGCCACCCAAGTCCTGGGAGAGAAGGAAGGATCCTGACCCCAAAGTGGGAGATAGGAAGGTCATTTCAAGGGTGATGGCGCTGCCATTCTTACTTAACCAAGCACGGCACCTCAGAGCAGGTGTGATCTTTCCAGGGCAACTCCAGGGGTGTGGTCACCCTCTCGTGCTGGTGTATGGCTGGTGCCAGCACAACGCCAAGGGGCGCCATTAGCCAGGATGACGATGTGACCCGTGTCCCCTGGAGTCCCGCAGAGCTGCAGGCTGAGCTGATTGGGCAGGATGAATTTACACCCCCGGCCCCTATGCCCGAGCACCAGGCTGCCACCACATCACCTGCGCTGCTAAAGGGGTTCTCGGCAGGGAAACCCAGCCCCAGAGCCTGCCTTGGCACATGCCTCGGGGCAGCCCCAGTGAAGGCGGCCACACTGAATGCTGCTGTTTGAGGGAGGGGAGGGTAGCCGGGATGGGGGAGGCAGTAGCAAAGGATACAATTTCCACAGATGAAGAGGATGATGAAGTAAATACAGACTAACATCCCTGGAAAAGAGGGGCCGCCATAAGCCATGATCCCATCATACATCACCGAATTCCAGTCCTCCCCGGTCAGGATCTGAATGACACATTCCCACCAATAAGGGACACAGCGTTAGACCAACAGCAAACCCCAAAACTCCCCTGCCCTGCCCCACTGTGTTAACAACAATGTCTACAAATCTCTCTTCCATCTCCCCTCCTCCTGGTCCCCAATTCTCTTCCCCATGGGCTCTTGGACCCCATCCTTAGATGAGCGCATGATCCCTAGCATGATATGATTTGAAGAATGACTGCAAAGGCCTGCTATCCACATGCATACGGTGGTCCACAGTATGTCCAGCCTCAGGCCTTTCGTGGGCTAGGCCTGCACGAGGCTCTGGATCATGTAATATATTCATCGTGAGTAAAATGTAACACCAGTTTGACCCCAAACAATCATTTGGGGCCTGTCTTCAAGAAGTTTGTGCCATCCACACAGTATTCATTTTAATCTATAAATGAGCGTCTTTAAACCTTAAATATAAGTGCTACTTAAGCCTTATCCTAAGCAAAAATGTCTACAAAGACATAAATTCGATGGGTTATCTATCTTTTTCCCCCCTAGTGCCAAGAAAAGATAGGACCTCCATCACCTTCTCCTCCTCGCCAACAAGAGTGGTTCTACTTCTCTTTGTTGGTATTTCGGTTTTCCGGTGTGATTTTATTTGGATTCATTGGCTAAGAGTTTTTAGCCCAGTCAATTAGAATCCCCCCCAGCCCACAATGGCCCACTGAATTGTAGGTCTTCATGGGGGTGGGGGCGTGGGGGAGAAGAAACTGGGGAGAGGACTGGAGTTTCCTGGCATGGGCTCCCCAGGGCTGATGAGGGCTGGTTTGGGCTGTCCCGTCTAAGGATGCTTTCCACCCCCTCTGCGAGAGCTCTCTAACTGCTTCCCACCACCCAGCCGCCCTCCCGGCGGCGCTCGGCAGAGGAGAGGCCGTACCTGGAACACAGTGAGCAGAGACTGGGGGAAGTTATCGAACGTACTCCTCCTGGTCTGCATCTCATCAAAGTTGAACTTTCCTCCAAAGAGCTGCATTCCCAGGAGGGAGAAGATGATGATGAAGAGGAAGAGCAGCAGCAGCAGGGAGGCGATGGAGCGCACGGAGTTCAGTAGGGACGCCACCAGGTTGCTTAAGGAGTTCCAATACCTGTGGGTCCACAGCGGAGAGATTAACCTGCTTTCCCATTCCTGTCCTTGACAGCGCTGGCTCCTCCTCCACAGAACCCACTAGACTGTGACACGCACACCAGCAGCCTCCTCTTGCCTCCCCTTTCCTCGGGGGTAGGTGGTGGTGACCTGGTGAGCTCACAGATCGCGTATGGGCCTACTGATGCAAGGTTCCTAGGTTCCTTGCAATGGTGAAGCAAGGGAGTGCCCACCTAGCTCTGCCATTGCTCACCACACGTGCCTCGGGCTAAGTCACTTAGCTTCCTTCTGTCTCCCCATCTGAAAAGAATGGATTTCCCTGGAAGGCTGGATGAGATCATCCAAAGAGCCCTCAGGAGAGAGGGGTCATGGTGGACCAGTGGTACCAGGGTTTGAACCCTGACCACTGCACTTCGTGCACGACACTGCCTGTCTGTCAGGGGAGGCTTTGGTTCTGGGGTGGTGTGAAGCAGGTTCCCGGGGAGCTTCCAGACTAAGCCGAGCTAGGAAGAAATGCCTGGAGATGCCCACTGGGTGTGGCTGGGCCCCTCTGACGCAGTCATTTCGAGGCAAGGACCTGCATTACAGCAGCAGGCATCGTGGTTCTGAGACACCCCAGGGTCGATCCTGCGCCACAGTGAGCCGTTGTCTGGGCTGTGATCTTTACCAGAGCACATCCCCAGGCCCTTTCTCCAGCAGGGTGGCTAGGGTGTGTCCGAACTGCTAACCTTTCAGTTAGCAACCAAGTGCTTAACAAATGTGCGACCAGTGCTGCTTAGCAAAAGTCCAACAGTCCCACAGAGAGCAAGGGCAGGATGGGCAAAATCTCCATCTCCCTACGGTCTCGCCATTTCCAGACCGTTCCACCGGCCTGCCCTCCAGTCAGAAGCTGGAGTCCCTGTCCCGACGACAGCCCAAGCTCATCACCCACGCAGTGAAGTGGTTTTGTTTCCTAAGTGAGCGACAGGCTAACCACCCTCCTGACAGCCTCCCAGCTGTGCCTGCAGCCTGGGCACTTCCCTGGTTCCTTCGTGAGTGCCGGCAGCAGATGGGCCAACAGTTTGGATGCAAACAGGAACTTCTCCCCAACCCGGAGCTTCTACGCTCCTTTCGCCTTCCCAAATTCATCCTGCCCCCATCTCTATTTTGCCTGTCAGCCACACCTCCTCGATTTGCAGAATAAGAATATACATTTAGGTGGGTCTGTTCTATAAATGCTCTTAGGTGTGACAGCCTCACCTCGATAAACAGGCTCTGAGTTCTTGAGGTGCAGAGACCAGAGATTCATGCCCTCTGCTCCTCCCTCTTTTGGACTCAGGCAAATTCTGCACAGCCCAGTCTGTGCGACAGATGGCCTGGTGCCCCAGCAGGCAAGAGGGCGTAGTGAGTGTTCTGTGTCAAACAAGAGGTCATAGGACCTGTCTGGAGGCAGGGCCCTCCACTCTCATCTGTGAAGCAAACACTTGTCTGATGATTTGATCCCAAAGCCAGCTGACCTTTGCTACCGCCTACATCCTGATGAGTCCCAGGTCCCACCCTGGGCCCCTGAAATCATGATCTCTGTTTCTGGGGCTTGATGGATTCTCATGCAGCCAGCTCAATACTTGTCAGTCAGCTCGTATTAGGCATCGGTGATGCTAGAGCACAAACACAGTGAGACTTTTTGGCTGCATCGGAGGGGAGCATGGTGGCAGGTGGACTGAAGCCACAGAGGCCCCTCGAAGTCCTCTGTGTGCTCAACTGTCATGGGAAATTCTGGAAAGCTCTCAGTGGCCATGGAAGGTTGGAGCCTTGATTTTCACGAGACACGTGGACATGCGGAAGACAGGCAGACAGACCCCGGCAGAGGGTTAGCTACGTCTGTCAGCCACGCTCCGAGGAAGGCAGCCACGGACGCCCCAAGACTCGAGAGAGCAAGTCACGGAGAGTGGGGACGAAGTGTGGCAGGCAGACAGGGGTGTGCTGGGGGCGGGGCATTTCCTGTCTGAAGAGCCCCTCAGAGTGCCAGGGGGTCTAGAAGAACAAAGGAAGTCTTCCAGAAGGGAAGAGTGCTGTGGGGTGCGGAAGGCGAGGTCCAAACAATGGCCAACAGTGAATGCTGTAGAGGAGTGGACCAAGAAGGGCCGGCCAGGAGACAGAGTATCAGATTAAAAGGGAGAGGTCCTTTCTCGTGTCTGCTTTACGGCCAGCCTACCTCCCCCGCCCCCCCGCCTCAGGAATATGCTGGCACAGTCAGAACACATTTGGCCCGCGGGGTTCATCACATCGAGATGTATCATCTGATAGAACTCCTGAAGTCTCCACCTGCCATCTTCCTCATCGTAGGAAAGGACACCGGCTGCCGGGGTGGGGCTAAGCCCAAAGTCCCGCATCTTTCTATCTCCCAGGCCATTCAGATCCGCAAAGGCCGCGGGCTCCCTCTTATGAACGAACCCCGGGTTCTGCCTTCCCCATCCCCTTTTCGGAAACAAAGCTACTTGGAGCGCCCCGGCGATGGAAACTCTTTGTCTTGCGGCTCACCACTCAGGATAAAGTGTGGGGACAGGTGTTAGTGAGCGGAAGGGCGCTTTTCGCTCCAGCAGAGTCAGACTCTCACAGGGCAAGTTCTACCCTGGCCGGCAGGGTGGCGAGGAGTCGGCATCGGACTGGCTGGCAGCGAGGGAGTTTTGTTATCGGTCCAAAGCACCCTAGGGGGGTATTGCCCACTCTGGGAAACACAGTGGGCAGCATCTCTCATTCGGATTGCTGGTCACAGGCTTGATCCCTTGTCCCGCACGGCTATTCTCCACGTGGCAGTGGGAGGGGTCCTGTCAAGATCGCAGTCACATGGAGCCTCCACACTGCATGCTGGCTGTCCCCTAGGCGGCTCTGCGTCTAGGTGGGCTCCTGATGAAGGGAATGAAGCGTGCCCAGTCCCGGGCCACCTTCAACGCCGGCTGGAAAGCCTCAGCATATTGCTGGGTCCGGTGTGTCCAGCTGGGGGTGGAGGGTGGCACCTTCCAGTGCTAAACCCAACAACATTCTAGTCGGTCCACAGGGTTTTGTGGCCTATTTTTGGGAAGGGGATCACCAAACCTGCCTGCCATGGGTGACCCTGCTGAGGGTTCCACACTGGGGCGCAGCTTCCGGCCTCACCGCAGACCATCACAGTGTGACAAACTGACAGGCAGGTGGTGCCAACTCTGCTCACAGCCCTCCTCTCGCGTCCCGTCCTCTCGGGAGCGGCCCAACAGGCCACGGCCTTCCTGCCCCTGCTCCTGCCCTGCCCTGCTGCTCCTGCAGTCTGCAGAGCGTCCCCGACATCGGGCCACACTCACCTGTCCTTCCCCCAGGTCCCTGCTCAGGTGCCAACTCATTGGGGTCAGGGGCCTGACCACACGGCATAGAAGAGCCCCTTCTAGATCTTTCCACCCTGCTTGCTTAGACGACACTCTCCCCACCTGCTAGCAGCTATCTTGGTCTTTACTGGCCACTTCCTCTCCCACAGCTTCAGGTCCCCGGGAACAAGGGCTTCCTGCTTCTGTTCACTGCTACCTCCTGGCCCAATAGACGCATGCTGTGCACGCATGAATGAGGCTCCCGTAACCATGGTATCCTGGTACTACTCACTGGATGGCAAGGTAAGGGGCCTGGGGGTTACCCAGATGTTCTCTCTGTGTGTGAGACAGGGCAGGTAGGGGATGGTAGAAACATCAACCCAGACACACAACCCAGGTCAAACAGTCAGGACTTCCTCCCACATAATTTCTCTTCCTAGCGCTTCCCAAAGGCCCTGGGCACAGGATTCCCGAGTGCTCTAACTTTAAACATCGTGTTCCATTGCCAGCCTGGGGTCAAATGAATGCCCATCAGTCTGCCCTCCAGAAAACAGGGTTGCCATGGCTTTGAGCCCCTTGGGGTAGAACTCCCGCAGGAGCACTGTGACCATGAGCATCCCTCAGGGGAGAACTCCCACCCTGCTCACTCAAAGGCAAGCCAATGGCCACCGACTTGAGGGCATGAGCCAGCCTCTGTCGAAGAGATGACTGCAGCCAGGTAGGCTGGCACCAGCTACCCTCCACAGGAAACACATCTGGGCCGAAAAGAGCCTGCACTTTGGACCAGGACATGGTTATTTACACTGTCTTCAACTCACTATTCCTTGCCCTTTAACCCGGGCAGGGGGTGGTGGGGTAGGGGTGGATCCTGCTCCCTGGCAGGTCTGCCACCCATCCTTCCCAATCCTCTGGAGCAGGATGAGAAGAGCCAAGCCAGTGCCAGTGGCCTGGCATCATGAGGGGTGCCCAGCTTGCTGAGCAGAAGGCCACCCCTCCCTAATGTGCAAATGATTGGCCACGGTTTCTAGCCTCTCTTTCGGAGGGAGACAAAGAGAGTGTGGGAGGGGCAGTGTGGCGGAGAACACCACCAGGGTTGGGGAGAGGAGCTAGATTTCTGAGCTGAGCCCGCAGTGGCGATGGCAGGGGTTGGGGTGGGGGCTTCATGAGTCTCCATGTAGGTGACATTGTAGGGGCTCTTCCGGGCAGCCTCTGAGGTGGGTTGGGGTGGTGTGGAATAGAATTTGAATGGACTGTCTGGACGCCCCAAGGAAGCTCTGATTTGTTCCTCTTTCAGGCCAATGTGGGCCTGGAAGGCTATTCCCGCACCTGCCTGTAGGTAGGAAGACAGCCTCATGCCCTGGAATCATTGGGTTTCAGGAAAGATGAGCTGATGGCAAACTAGAGGAGCTAATGGCAGATAGCCATCAGCTGAGGCTTTCATCCTAAGTGGTTGGAAATAACGAAGCAGAGACACCCACCCACCCAGAGGACAGAGATAACAGGCCGCAGCAGGAGGTCGCAGTCTCTGTCTTTGGTCATGAATCATATAGGGCAGTGGTTCTCAACTTGCGGGTCGTGACCCCTTTGGGGACTGAAGAACCCTTTCATAGGAGTCCCCCAATTCTGAACAGTAGCCAAATGATGGTGAGAAGTAGCAACGAAAATAATTTTAAGGTTGGGGGTC